ATGACTTTCGTTCCCTGATAGAGTCCTCCCACACACACACACACACACACTGATATGACACCCAGATATACATTTAAACAGACATTATCATGTAAAAACATGTTTGTCCTCCATTTACTCACACACATCACTGAACTCTAGCACACAACATAGTACAACAGAGCAGAGCAGGGAACATCAGCACATGCTATATGTAGTAAAACATTAGCAATTAACTGGATAACTTACCTATGATTTGGTGGTTACTATTCCAGATAGGGACACACAGGACAGATCTAATATGGAAGCCAGAGAACTGATCTGCCTGAAAAGATTACAAACAAACACTTGTCACCATATCAAAAACCAAATGATCTGACTATAAGCATGTGAGGAGAAGTGAGCAAAAATATGAGATCATCTGAAGACACAGTGTTATATAAACTTGTGCTGTTGGCATTTTGAAGACACACAAGAGCCGACAGAGGTCCAAGGTCTTATGCAGAGCAGAAGTCTCTCTCATCTTTAAAGACAAACTTCTAAAAAAAATAATTAATTTGCCAAGTCAATGAAACCTCCTCCTATAAAACTATATATTATTTTAGAAATAAAAACAGCACAAATAAATTCATGTTCAAACTCTATTTGTATTTAGCCTTCATACAAACAAGAAATGTGAAATCACCGTCAAATAAACATAAGACTCTTTTACTCACCTTATTAATGTTAATATCTTTAAAAGAACACTCCACTATTTTTGAAAATAGCCTCATTTTCCAACTCCCCTAGAGTTAAACAGTTGAGTTTTACCAAAAAACATGTTGCTGCAGACTGGCTTATTGGAAATGCAAATTCATTCTCTGCCAGCAGGAGGCACTTCTGGAGCGGCAGAAACAGCGGTTTCTGGTACCATAAGTGTCACTTAAAAATGAATGAATGAATGATAAATTTATTAATTAAATAATGTAAATAATAAATCACTTTTCAAAATGACAAATAAATACATATTTCTTAATAACCGTTTATTTAAAATGTTAGTTGAATGTACCAGTAAAAGAATAAATTATTTTGTCAATGTGAAAGTGGTTTATTTATATATCATTTTATTTTAGAATTAATAATTTATTTTAACTGGCACTCACAGTTCTCAATGGTTAAGTACTGTTTACATGGAGCAGCTGCACCCAGGAAATACATCATTAGCACATAACCAGAAGTTCATTTCCCCAGAATAAAATTTTATAGATCATTTGTCAATGACAAACATCATATTTTATATATCATTTAACAAACAACATGTCTGCTTCTAAAGCCTCTGGCGCACTTGCCCCATAATCTTCCATTGTAAAAACCATCTCAAAAAATGTAAAAGTTACAATGGTAATAGAGTTATGTTGTTTTTAACCCAGAAAACTCCTTTAATGGGAAGCCAAACATCAGCCATGTTTACGTCATTTTATAGGCTACAATATCTGCTACTGAATTTATATATACTGAACTCATTTTTCTATTCCAATTGTATTCATTTATTTATTGCTGTTTAGGGATCTTACTTCAGCATCAAAGCGTGGGTCTTGGTAGGCATCGCTGATATTCACAGGAAGCCCAGTGGAGGCGACCAGCTCTGCAATGCTGTTATTAATCAGCCAGTCAGAATAGGATGATTTGTCCATGCTGTCCTTGAAACTGTGGATAAGACAAAGAGGAAGTGACATGTGCTGCTATGTACAAACCCAAGACAACCAGTACTATTAACTATTGCTCATACTTTGGCTTAGAGAAAAAGGGAGAGTACTAAAAACAGTTCTTACTATGAAAATAATAGAATATACTTAGTAAACTGAATATAATGGTTTTGGACACTTTACTGCATAATTACAATTAAATGAAAGTGTTTTATAGTTTACATTTAAATTAAATGCCTTTATTTGAACTTTAGAGTGCTTTTTAAATCTATTTAAGTAGGATGTAAGTACATCTTTATAAGTAATTTCATAATTGTCTTCGATTAAGCATACTGCTGAATGTACTGACAAGTATTTATAGTTACCTAAAACATACTTTAATGTCATTTTTTCAATGTAACATATTTAAATATATCTGTAATTACACATTTGTAATGATCACGTTTCAATTTAGTAAAATATATTAACTTTAAATGTAGTACAGAGTAACACATTACAGTTTATTTAGGTTATTATAATCATGTGCTTTTTAGTTTGATGTCAACACAGCAAAATAAGTGTACTTCTTTAAAACAACAAAAGTTAAAATTACTTTGAAGTAAAACTTCAAATTTAACATTAGTACTAAGTGAATTCTCTAAAAGTGTCCTTAAGTGTGTTAAGAAATACAGTCATGAAACTCTCTCTTTTTAAGTTTTCAATCATTAATATTCTCCTTTAATTTCATGAATATTTTATTATCTGCAAGTACATTTTTTTAAAGTATACATACTTTTAAGATTTGAAGTACTGTACATTACAAGTGCACATTCAATACAATTAAGTGGGTTCAGGTCCATTTAACATATTTTACTAAGTTTAAATCCATTCAGTTAACCAGATTTCTCCTCAAAATCAGTGAAAAGGTCTGCAGATCTCATTTGGGCTTCACTGTTACCATGTAAACACCTGCCGCTAGTACTCAAGTTTGTGCTCTCTTCAAGTACGCAAACGTAGGATGGTTCGGACCCAAAATTACAATGTATAAAGAGACCTGCAGGGACAAGCAGGTGGAATTAAACTTAAGTTCGGACCAAGCGATCAAACAAAGTGTGAAGAAAGCCTCAGACGCTTCAGCCCGGGGAAGAGCTGAGGGATGCTGGGGTCCACAGGGCGGCTGCTGCTAACACTCTCATTCCCTCTCCAGTAATTTACAGCTAACGAACTTTCCTCTGCATTTTAATAAGGCTCTATGGAGCCTGCAAAAGCAATGAGAAGTTAACGCTCCGACTCTCATAAACGCCCACGTGCAGCGGAGAGACAGTCCTGATGTAGCTTCTCTCTCTTTTAATCTCTCTCACGTGGTACATTTCAGGCTCTTGTGCTCTGGGCTAAGAGAGTCTGATCAAACATCTTCCCTCATACTCTCGATCACACCCCAAAGATCACACTTGATTAACGGCGCTGCGAGCTGCTGTCTGAGGAAATGTCGGAATCAAAGGGATGAATGGGAGCGTGTGAATGTGCTGTGCCGGGTGTAACTGAGCACACGAGATGTGAGATTTGCATGTGTGTTGTGAGTTGCGTCCGTGTGCGTCTGGGTGAGCAGCAGAATGTCTTTCTCCCATTTGGCCCCGAGCTGTTTTCGAGCACAGCAGAGGACAAATCATCCTTACATAATGGCTCCGGCTGTACCTTTAGAGAAGCCAACACAGAGGATGAAATCACTAAATAAAACATAACTTTTAGAAAATGCCCTGTGTATGATAGAAATATATACTACTGATGCTGTATAATTTTAAAGCTTTGAAGCAGTGTGACATATTTTTGCATTTTTCTTCAGTCTGTATTCGATCATTATTCATTATTAGATCTGTATTCAACTTTGAGAAGTTTATGTGTTTGTATAATCCTTTAGTGATAAAAGTGATTTTCTGAAGTAAATGCACCTGTGAAAATGTAGACTTTAGCATACTTTTAAAAAGAGTACTTATTAAGGAAATAAAATACTATATGAAAGAAAACACTTAAGTGTGAACTGAATGTAAAGTTTTCAGACACTTAATTGTAATTGAATGAAAACATATTCTAGTTTACATTTATAATAAAAGGAAATAGGACTTAACTACATCTTCGTATGTAATGTCATAATTATTGTCTTTATGAAATTACTAGTACTGTCAATCGATTAAAAAAAATGACTAATTAATTGCACATTTTTCTGAAATTAATCGCGATTAATCCCACCTAATATTAAGTTTTTTTAATACTTTTATATTGCAATAATTTCACATTCAATCTTCAAATGAATGTACAAACAACAAAGACAGAATATTTTTTTATATTTGTTTAATGGCAACTTTTTTTATGACTGAAGGCCAGTATCAATGATACCAATATAAAATTGAACCATTGACTATTCAACATGAGTAGCCATTCAACATTACAGTATAATTCAGAGCTATCAATTTTAACATTTATTAGACTTTAAAATAAATACTTCTAATTTAAACCCAACCCTTGCCCCGCCTCTGCGTTAATTGCGTTAAATATTTTTAGCTGAAGTTAAACTGAAAAAATGAATCGCCTGCGTTAACACGCTAATTTTGACACCACTAGAAATTACTTCTATTGTCTTTGAAATATGGTTGAAGTATTGCTGAATGTACTGACAAGCAGTTATGGTGAACTAAAACATACTATTGAAACTTGTATGTCATGTATTTAAATATACATTCTGTAATGATGATATTGCAATTTAGTACATTTAAAAATAAATCTTAAATGTAATATTGAATAACTCACTACAGTTAAAATTATAATCAAGTACTTTACGTGTGCTTTAGTTTGTTAGTCAACGCTAAATTATGCATCTAAATAAGCGTACTTCTTTAAATCAAGACAAAAATGACTAAAAATCCTTTAAAATGTACTTTAAAGTAAAAATATAATTTGATATTATCACAAAGTGCACTTTTTTCAAAAAAGTGTTAAGAAAGTCATGAAAGTTCACTCTCTTTAAGCACACTTAAGTGGCATTTTATAGTTCATTAATATTATATCATCATCTGCAAGTAAAGTTTTTTTAATTTATACTTTTAAGATTTGAAGTACACTACAAGTGCACATTCAATGCAATTAAGCGCACTTCTTTTACACAAGGGTGTGAATGCTTGCCTGTGAAAGCTGGTTTTGGGTCAGGTAAAGCACTGCAGTGTACATACAGAGACAGGACAGCGCAGAGCAAATCATATATGCATGTTGGCGTAGACCACAAATCATATTTGACCCATTTGAATTCTACACAGAATAATCTACTTTATAGAGCTATAAAGGAGGTCAAATATCTCAAATGGTTAGACAGCCTTGGCATTTTAAACTGCATTAATGAAGAAAGGGGAAGACAACACTGTGCCATCATGCATTAAACACCAAGGATGTGTTCCAGATAGCAGGTTATGCAACACAGATAAGCAAACGAATAACCTCAACACACAGAACTGTAAATAACATCTTAAAACTGTAGAAAAAGAACTGTAAATATATAAATATATTTATATTTCTCAAACAACCATGTTGGAAGACATACCCACCATGTCTATATTACAGGATTACAATGATAAGATTCATCAAGCTTAATTTGTGAAATAGTGGTTCAGTCAGCATGAGGAATCACTGTCATCACTTTGTATGAACTGGCCAAGTCCTGAGCTTAATCCTATTGAAAGTCTTGAGGATGTGCTGGAGTCGACTTTACAGAGTGGTTCAACTCTCCTATTGTCAACACAAGATCTGGTCCAAAAATGTATGCAACTCTTGATGGAAATAAATGCTGTGGTGTTGCATGACATTGACGAAACAATATCATAACGAATGCACAATATAATCAAAGCTAAAGGTGGTCCAACAAAATATTAAGAGTTTTTCTTTTTGGACAGGCAGTGTAAAGTTGGCTCCAGCACATCCCAAAGACTTTTAATGGGGTTTAGGTCAGGAGTCTGTGGTGGCCAATCTTTCACAATTTGAGCCAGATGAATCTTGCCATTGTCATACTGGAATATGGACATGGGTACATCTTCTGCCATGGTTGTTTGAGAAATAAAAAGCTACACACTGCATCAGTTAGGGTTAAAAGAATTGTTGCCAAACATACAACGTGCCACAAACATTAATCAAATTAGTTAATGATTCAGTCATAAAAACTTAAGCATTTGCTTATTTAAATCCATATGGTGACTTTTTTTGGGCAAGGCAGTGTATATATATAGGTATACAGAGAAATATAAATGTAAATCAGACTATATAGTTATAAGTCTGAATATATAAATGTAAATCAAGTATCTGTTGTAATAATTCTGAATATTTAAATGTAAATTGAAATATATAGATGTAATTCTGAATATATAGATGTTGAGTTGATGCAGTGGTGCAATATTGGGCGTTCAATATTTCTGTAAAAATGATACTTCTACTAATAACAGTGCTGGGTTAATATTATTCACGCTGTTTGCATTAGTTTAAACTGATCTGTCCACTACCAAACCTGCAGCTGTTTCTACTTCATCTTAAAAACTGAATAATTCCAAATAAATCCAGATATTTTGAGAGTTAATGATTCAGTCATAAAAACTTAAGCATTTGCTTATTTAAATCCATATGGTGACTTTTTTTGGGCAAGGCAGTGTATATATAGGTATACAGAGAAATATAAATGTAAATCAGACTATATAGTTATAAGTCTGAATATATAAATGTAAATCAAGTATCTGTTGTAATAATTCTGAATATTTAAATGTAAATTGAAATATATAGATGTAATTCTGAATATATAGATGTTGAGTTGATGCAGTGGTGCAATATTGGGCGTTCAATATTTCTGTAAAAATGATACTTCTACTAATAACAGTGCTGGGTTAATATTATTCACGCTGTTTGCATTAGTTTAAACTGATCTGTCCACTACCAAACCTGCAGCTGTTTCTACTTCATCTTAAAAACTGAATAATTCCAAATAAATCCAGA